TAGTTCCTTATTCGAATAAGGAACTGGGAACTGGGAACTGGGAGCTAACTTCCCTGAGCTAATGCAGACTCGTTAGTGTTGGTGGGAAATATCCTTGTTACATAGTCCAACTATTGTCATGTCGAAGATTCACCCCAATTTATAAACGTGAAACGTGTGATAAGAACACTTCATCCACGTGAATAGCAACTTCAATCTATGGCAATTAATGCATCGCAATATCTTTTTCCGCGTGCGATTTTCGAGTGAGTGGGATAATGTGGTATGGTTGGACTATGTATGACAATAAAAATCTAAATATACATCCCATAATAAACCACGCTTTCTCAGCCTCGGTCTAACACTGTAGTTTGAGGATTGGAGCACTTTTTTATTATTCTCTGGGATTGGGGAAGGCATGACAACGAAATTATACTACCAGACAGAAGGTGCACGCGTGTCCATTTGTTAGTCTTCATTGACCGATAACCTTTCCCTTTCCCGGGTTTAATAGACTAATACGATCTGTATACGACTTGAATCGCCAGCGCCAACTTTATTCCTGGTTGTGCCTGTTCGTATAGTTTTTGCTTCAGAAGCCACGATTCAGATCATACCACGTATTAATGTTTAATTGAATTTTCTGATCATATATCGGCGTTGAGTTTTGTCGCGAGTGTTGCTACGTTACACATCCCTAATTGCAGTGCGAATAATAAAGCAACGTCGAGGAGTTAACGATTGCTATTGTAACATTCACACTTCCAATTTACTCAATATTAGTCTTTACAATGAGAGGCATGTATTATTGTAAGAAATTATGAAACGTTGTCGGTTTTCTGCATGGCTCGTGCTAGATCAATTGTGTGTTCAATTGCATCGCATGGCTTGTCTCGGTTGAAATAAATAGCCTCTTTAGCGTATAGACGAAATCAGCGATTAAGTATGTACGTGGCATGGTAACGAAGCACGATGGCTCGAGCATCTTGTTAAAAAAACGGAAAACATGGCGCTGGATTTTCTACGTGGACCAAGTTGTGAAATATCTCTGACAAGCTTTGTACTGATGACCTCGTGGGCAGGATGTGAGACGGGCAGTGTCACTGTGTGTAAGATGGTAATAGAAAACACGATCTATAGAGGAGTCCCTCAAAGTCGTAACCTCCCTCAAATATAACACGACGTTGCAGTAATTCAACTACTGGGATATTAAGTAGGGTAAATAAACAGAATAACCCTATTGGTACACAGGCATGCACGCTCAAATAACAGCATGCTTACACAGCCTCACACACGCACACGCACACGCACACGCACACGCACACGCACACGCACACGCACACGCACACGCACACGCACACGCACACGCACACGCACACACGTGCACAAAATGCTCGTACATATAAACATGCATATATGAAAACTCGGCTATGCTGTTCAGGTTACATGGAAGGCCTTTACCTGGAAGTCTCCCTTATTCAAAGGTGTTTTTTTGTTTTTTTGTTATCTCAATAAAATTTCGTTGTTCTGGTTATCCAGCCGCCACATGTCACGCTCATGTTTAATTTCTGAGTCATATATCGTTAAAAACTTTCTCTCGACTTGTGATCGTCTTCTATAAACTCCACTGCCTTCGGCTTCAAGTGGCTTCGCAGTGTGCCTGGGTGTGCCACGTGCCATGCTCTACCGACGGAATTCCATAGGTTCCATCCGTTTTTCAGATCGCCATATATAAAGTCGAAGAACCAGAGACTACTGGAGAAATCCGATTCCCTGCTCTCGGACAAGTCCGTGGAGTTTGTTCCGCGTATGCGGGCCAGCCCTGAGCCCGTCCTGCAACTGGCTTCTTCTCCTCTCGCTGTCAAACCCACAGCAGGTATGCAATCACTTGCCCCTACAACGCTCGCTCTTTTGCACATTCCGTAGCGACGCTGTGTTTGAAGATGTGTTAAATACGAAATCTTTGTGTTTTTTTTTGGGGGGGGGGTTGAACTACACACATACTCACACACTCACACATAAGGTTAGTTCGTAAAGCATTTATTTTGAACGCTACCATTTTGTTTTCTCGTCTGTGATGTCGGCAACCCATAGGACGGGTTTAAAAATCGAAGCAATAACACGTTAAAACGACAATTACATTCCTCGCTCTACCCTGGTGATAGTAGTTTATGGCTTTGCAAAGCTTCATAATTATGCCATTGATGTTATGTGTGTATTTAATGTGCAGCAATATTGCAGTTTTGTAAGGGAACGTGCTGTGTAAGCAATGTGTTCTTTTCACGAAACGTAATTAAGGCGCTATAGAATTACTGTCAAAAGCTATTTGTAAGACAGCCATTCTATTGTTGGATTGAGTTTAGATAAAACGGGACGCGGGTGTATAATATTTTTAACCTAATATTCGCATATAATAGGCATGAATGGCGTTTCATCAGAATAAAATAATTGCAGTTTTAAGGTTTGTAATATTTTAGCAGTGACCGACGCCTGCTTCGCTAATTCTAATATCAACCGTTAATCACGTGCAAATACACAACAACCCCGATACTCGCGTGACTCATGTTAAATAAACTTTCGTTCTCTTCCACCAGGTGTCAGTGTTGAGGCTGTAGATAGAGCTATCAACGGCTGCATAGTGAAAAGTCTGACCAAGTCTGGCGCCATCTCTCGGGATGGTCGCATCGAGCCGGGCGATTACATCGTCAGCATCAACAATGAGTCGATGCGCAAGATCACTAATTCGCAGGCGCGCGCCATCCTGCGGCGCTCCTCCCTGCTCGGCACAGACATAAGGTGTGTGTAGCAACACGCCACCCTGATGTGCTGCCTTACATTCAGCCGCAGCGGTGGCAGCAGCAGCAAAAGCGGCAGCAGTAGCAGCAGCAGCAGCAGCAGCAGCAGCAGTAGCAGTAGCAGGAGTGGCAGTGGCAGCAGCAGCAGCAGCAGCAGCAGCAGCAGTAGTAGCGGCAGCAGGGGTGGTGGCAGCAGCAGCAGTAGTAGCGGCAGCAGTGGCGGTGGCAGCAGCAGCAGCAAAAGGCAGCAGCAGCAGCAGCAGCATTTTTTGCATCTACTTACATTCGTGTCTCATAATTTCTCAAGTTGCATCATATAATTATCATTAGTACACACTAAGTATAATTATCATATATATAGTATAATTATCGTTTCACTGTTTCCCTTATATTATGTATTCAGCCTCAAATGTTGCCAAAAGCTAAAGTAGTGATATATTTCCATTGCTCACCGGACGTTTATGCAGTTACACACAGACACACGCACGTGTACACACGCGCACACACGCACGCATGCACACAAGCCATCGAATTCAATGCGTGTAACTGATATACACGCGAACCCACGAAGAGCCTCGGCATCAGCATCGTCGGCGGCAAGGTGGACGGAGGCTCGGCCGACAACATCATATCAGGAATCTTCATCAAGAACGTGCTGCCCAAGAGCCCGGCGGGACGCAACGGCACGCTGAAGACGGGAGACAGAGTGCTCGAGGTAACCATGGCAACGTAGCACGGCATGCTTAAGGTGTTGAACAACAGTAGAGGGCGTCCATAGGCTGCAGGCCTGAATAAGCATCGAACAGAAATTAATTAAAATTACTCTCACACTGTTACTGCACTTACAAAACATACAGTTTATTCGTGTTAAATAACTACAGATTCATGCTCTATGCTCTGCTCGAAACCTTTGCCAGCTCTATGATGCGAATTTCTGCAAAGTTGTCTGAACACATTTCATACGCAAAAATCACCAGCCGGTCGCTGCGGCTACGCCACCTGACGGAATGTCACGAGTACACAACAAGACCAATTTTACTTCTAATGCTTTCTAGACATCCACGAGGCATCTAACTTGCATGCATAATGCAAATTATTGCAATCTAGTGCCGAATTTTGGCGAAATTTTTTTCAAAAAAGGCCTTTTCTAGAGACGAAATAGTGCAACGGTGAACAATTGCGGAGGCTTACTGTTGTACACCTCCTTAAGATGGGATGCTTGAGGTAACCGTCGCGACATAACGGGGCATGCCAGAGAAGGGAGACAAAGTGCTCGAGGTAACCATGGTGACGTAATGAGGTTGCGGGGAACGCTGAAGACGGGAGATGGAGTGCTTGACATAACCATGGCAACGTAGTGTGGTCATAGGGGCAATAGAGACGGGAGACAGAGTGCTCGAGGTAACCATGGTGACATAGCGAGGTCGCGGGGGAACGCTGAAGATGGGAGATGGAGTGCTTGAGGTAACCATGGCAATGTAACGGGGCACGCTGAAGTACGTAGACAGAGTGCTCGAGGTAGTACCATGGTAACGTAGCATGGTCATGGGGGCACCCTGAAGACGGGGTGCTTTATGTAACCATGGCGACGTAGCGCCATCACTGGGGCATGCTAAAGACGGGAGGCAGATTAATTGAGGTAACCATGGCGACATAGCCGGGGGTGGAGCAAGACAACTGTAAATTTCAGTGCGAAGGAATGAAAAAGGAAAGAAATGAATTCAAATACGAGGAAGACGAACTAAGGATCCATAAGAAATCGTGTGGTGTTTATACGATGATGGCGAATTCATTTCTGAATTTCTCTGTGCTTGTTAACGTTTGCAAATTATCTGAAGATTTGTTGAGCAAATCAGAAATCGTTGTGTTTGTGTAATGTGTGTGTCAATTGGCATTTAAATGTAAATGCTATGGCTTGGAGCGCAAGCGCACTCATTAACTATCGCTCTGTATAACGACTACATGCGACCTGTGGAGAATTTATTTTAATTACTCGGTTTTCGCTGCAATAACAAAATCCTACTTCCGTGATTGTGATGAGGCTTAATGGTGGTGCGTGCTTATTGATGCAGGTTGATGGAGTGGACTTGAGAGATGCGACGCACGACAAGGCTGTTGAAGTGATACGCAACGCCCGCAGTCCCGTTAGATTCGTTGTACAAAGCTTACAGACTGTGGCGAGTACTCTTCTCTCATACGTAATGCGGCTTTCCGCGAAGTGAAGCTCTGCGTGGCCATCGTGTCTCATCCCTCCTCGTCGCTGCATCTCTCGTCGTTCTTAGAATGAACACGGGGGGGGGGGGCAAAGAAACCCCCGATTCGTTTAGCGTAGAGAACAAATAAAACGTGGCGTGAATGAGTGATTTTTTTTCATAGAATGAGGACAAAGATGGAAAGAAGGAGGCGCCAGTCCTGCCTACAGAAGCACTACCACAGCCGCCTCCTCCCCGATGGGTACATACACTCACGTTGCTACTAGCTTCCTGCTTCTTTGCACTCGCTGTGCAGTAATTTATGAAATTTCAAGTTTTGGATGTTTCGTCATCCTTAGTAGAAGTATAATTACAGCATGATGATGAGCAGTGATACATATATAATGTATATATATATATATATATATATATATATATATATATATATATATATAGTACTACTTATTATAAGATGTTATGATTGTTCAAGAGGTTGGCACTAAGTAAGTTAGAAAGCTTCAGTTAAGACGTACAGGATCACGCATATTTCTCCACCACTTAGTAAATAATTGAAATAAGGATTTAATTTAGCATGATTAGGTTTTAATAATGATTTTAATTTAGAATCTCATTTTAACGCATTCAGTTTGATTGAATTTATCTCTACGAGTAAGCGCCGTTCGCCATTTAGATCCACATTGCTTGCTTTAACTTCAAAACCCCGCGAGCACCACGCCGAGACAGCCACCCTCCTCGCGCAATCATTCTAAATTCTGACGACGACCTCGCTCGCAGGCGTCCGAAGCAGTTCGGCGGGGGGCCACTGTCGCGCTGCGCCTGAGAGAGACCAGCCAGCCCGGCAGCTAGAGCAACAGCAGCAGCGCCCCGCGTCTCGCCGTACCAAAAGCCAGCCGTTGCGCCGCCAAGAGGCCGGGCGTCCTCGAAGCGGGGCCTTCCGGTTGAAGCTGCAGCCGCATTGCTGCCAGACTCCGCCCGAGAGAGAACGTCCGCGTGACGTGCGACAGGCTGGAGGAGACAGGGAGCGGCCCGCGGAGGAACAGGTAAACCGTGGCGACGGGGCAGTCGGTAAGCGTTCTAGTGCGTCACGATGTCTCCGCGGATTTTTTTCCTGGGAAGACGACGTGAAGAATCGCTGTGTTGAATATCGCTCGGTGCGTTGCATGTGCAAGCGATCAAACGCGTCGGCGTGTATTAAACATTGAAAGCGCGATTACGCATACTTACAGACGTTCATACAGATATACAGACCGTTCATTAATCGGACGTTTATACGGACGTTCATTCTACAGACGTTGGCGTACAGACGTTCATACGTCATTCATACAGAAGTATCTTACAGTCGTTATAACGGGACGTTCATTACAGACGTTGCGTACCGAACGCTTCTACTGAACGTTCATACGCGACGGTCATACGGACTATAACGGACGTTCATCACAGTTCATTGACACACGTTCATACACGAATAGACGTTCATACACACGTCATTCACACACGTTCATCGACGTTCGTACAGCCGCTCTTACAGACGTTCATACAGACCGTTCATACAGTCGTATGCATACACAGTTCATACGAGCGTTCATATACACATGTTCATACGGACGTTCATTACAGCGCATCGGCGGGTTCACATCAGCTCATACACACGTTCATACGGACGTTCATACGCGCAGTTCTACACACGTTACACCACGTTCATGACACGACGTATCATACAGACGGTTCATACACCACGTTCATCGACGACGTCATACACATGTTCACTACGGACGTTTCATACAGACGCTTCAACAGCCGTTCATACACAACGTTCATAAGGACGTTCATACACATGTTCATACACTATGTTGCATCACATGTTCCATTACACACAGTTCATACCAGACGCTTCATACAACGTCATTACGTGACGTTCATGACAACATGCTCATACGGAGCGTTCATACAGACGTTCATACAGCGTCATACACACGTTCATACGGACGTTCATACACATGTTCATACACATGTTCATACACATGTTCATACGGACGTTCATACAGACGTTCATACACACGTTCATACGGACGTTCATACAGCCATTCTTACAGACGTTCATACAGACGTTCATACAGACGTTCATACAGTCGTTCATACAGACGTTCATACAGACGTTCATACAGACGTTCATACAGACGTTCATACAGCCGTTCTTACACACGTTCTTACAGACGTTCATACAGACGTTCATACAGCCATTCTTTCTGACGTTCACATAGACGTTCACATAGATCTTCATACAGACGTTCATACAGACATTCATAGCAACGTTCGGTAATGCATGTCAGTGTTGAGAAAGTCACCTGTTGTTCTGATCAGATATTTCTGGTTCGTAGGAGGAGGCTGACATTGACAGTGCCAGTAAGCTCAAGCTCACTGATGATGAGGAGGAGGGAGATCAGTTTGGCTACACGTGGAGTGAGTACCCGACTATTTATCTCTCTCATCTCATGCATCCACACATACATGCACACGTACATCCACACATACATCCACACATACAAACTGCCAGCACGCACATCCACACACATCCACACATACATCCACACATACATGCACACGTACATCCACACATACATCCACACATACATGCACACATACATCCACACATACATGTACACATACATGCACACATACATGCACACATACATCCACACATACATGTACACATACATGCACACATACATGCACACATACATCCACACATACATCCACACATACATGCACACATACATAAACAAGCGCT